ACCCTATACCAAATACATTAAAAATATAAATAAAATAAAATAAAAAATAAACTCTCCAGTACAATGGAAAACATGGATGGATTAGATTTTTTTTCTTAAAGTAATACCTTACTACATGCTGCCTATTTTGTAAAAAAACTCTTTAAATCTTAAAACACATTGCTGGGTGTGGTGGCACATGCCTGTAATCCCAGCACCTGAGAGGCTAAGGCAGGTGTGAGTTCAAGAACAGCATGAACTACATAGTGAGACACTGTCTTAAAAAAAAAATCTTTTTTTAAAATTAATTTTATTGTGAAACAAATAGCAATGCAACAGTTTCAATAATACATTGCATATTGTCTTCATAGTGGTTATTCATAGTACAAGATGCAGACATGACATCTTGTCAAAACACTATTAGTACAAATCTTTCTTCTCATTGAATTAAGAGGAAGTAGCTGTATATCTATCTTAACTATTTTTTAAATAATTTTATTGAGAAAAAATAGCAATGAGACAGTTTCAAAACCAATTACTAGCACAGTTTCAATAATTAATACATTGCATATTGCTGTCTTAGTGGTTATTCATTGTACAAGATGCAGACATGATATCCTGTCCACAAACACTATTAGAACAAATCTCTCTATTCAATGATCCAAGAGAATGCAGCTGTGTATCTATCTTAACTATTTTGAACATACAGACACAAAATGGTTATTCATTTGTATCCCCCTTTTTATTTAGTTTTGTCAGAGAAGGGTATTCCATTGTCATTTAAATATTGTAGGTGCCTGCATCTTAAAACACAGATTAAAAGGAAATGGATAAAAACAAGATGTAGCATGAAAACACTATTACAAAAAAATTAATACATTAAAATGTATTAATATAAAACACAGTGGTAGTAATGTAAAAAAAAGTGTCAAAAAATAACTTTTTTAAAAATCTCATAGAGTTCAATTCATTCAGAAAACAAATTCTAGAGAAAAATCTTAGCCCAGAGCTAAGAAAAAGAAAAATTAAACATAAAAAACAAACCATAAAAATCTGTTAAAATAAAAAAAAAAATCTGTTAAAATAGACTTCATACAAATTTGATTTTTTGTTGTTGTTCTTTAAAAGACAATGAGGGGGGCTGGGAGATAGCTCAGTAGAATAAGCACTTGTCTGGCAAATGCAAGGCCCTGAGTTCAATCCCCAGTACTGCAAATAAATAAATAAATAAAAATGAAAAAATAAAAAAGACAATGTGGGGCCAGGGATATAGCTCAGTGGCACAATTGCCTGCCTGGCAAGTACAAAGTCCTAAGTTCAATTCCCAGTCAAAAAAAAAAAAACAAAAAAACCCAATGTGGCTGGATGTGATGTGTATATTTGCATCCCAGTCTCTTGGGAGGCTGAGGCAAGAGGATTTCAAGTTCTAAACCAGGCTTGGAAATTTAACAAGATCCTTTCTCAAAATAAAAAGGGCTGCAGATGCAATTTAGTAGTACAGTGTTTGCCTAGTAGGCATGAGGCCCTTGAGTTGATCCTTGGCACAAAAGAAAGGAAGAATAGAAGGAAAGGAGAGAGAGAGAGAGAGAGAGAGAGAGAGAGAGAGAGAGAGAGAGAGAGAGATCGGATGGGGAAGAGAC